AGAACCCAGGGTGGCGGCCCCCCTCGAAGCTTGGGCCCACGAGTTCCGGCGTCCGAGGTCGGACGAGCTGTGGCTTCTCCGGGGCCGACCTGGCGGCAGCCTCCCGGCGGTTCTGGCTAGGGCCAATTCCCTCTCTGGCTCCCCGGGACAGATTCCATTTCGGGCCGGGGTGTGGCGGAGGCCTCGGCGAGAAACGCCAAGAAACAAGTGCCGGGTTCCAGCCCCAGGCGTGGCTTCCTGCAGCTTCCTGCGGTTTCGGTCAATGCTTGTTGATTTGGCCCGAGAGAAGATCTGAGCAGAGGGGACTCTGTACAGTGCTTCTTCCTCGAAACAACTTGCCTTGAATACTTGCCTGAAGGATAGCATATTTAGATTAAAAAAAAAAAAAATCCCAGAAGTGGAGACTCAAATACCCTCCCCCCACCCCACTGTGTTTTTGTCATAGAGTGCATGTACTCACAGGAGAGACAGAGATAAGAGGGAAAGTGAGAACTCATCCCCGAAATCCCTTCTTTTCCTGGGATTTTGGATACCTAGGCGCTCGTTCCATGTGATTTTCGTGTCACCAGCTTGGGACTGGAACCATGTGGGAGTCCAGTGCCTTAACTACTATGACACCTGCTGCCCCCTCACACTCTAGTTCATTAAAAAAAAAGAAAAGTGGCCATCTTTTTTTGTGGTTGAGCATTTTTAATTCAAAAATGGTCGTGCTGTGCACCTGAGATTTGTATGCAGCTCACTGTTTAGTAGAATGTTTGATATTTTCGGGGCCTGCAGGTGGCTTGGTGGTCAAGGTGCTGAACTCCCATATGGCCTACCACGGTTCCAGTCCCAGACCTGGTGGCTTGCTTTCTCACTTTCTCTCATGGATCAAAATTCTTAAAATGCAATAATGAGGGACCAGCAGATGGCGTAATGGTTATGTCACTGGACTATCATGTAGTTGACTGTGGTTCCAGTCCAGGACTTAATGGCTTAAAACACACTGGGCATTTGTGTGTGCATTCCCAAAATCCCCAGAGGAGAATGGAGGAGAAGGGATTGTGGTTTACTATTCCCCTGGGAGGTGATTTCTCGCTTTCTGTCTCTTGGGCGAGTGCATGTGTTCTATAGCAGAAATTTCTCTGAAAAAATATGATGATGATGACAAATAATTCTTTTAAAAAAATCAACATTTTTGGGATCACCAGTTGGCCTAATGGCTATGTCACTGGACTCCCATGTAGTCTACTGCGGTTCGAGTCCCGAGCCCAGTGGCTTAACCGCGCGCGCGCACACGTGTGTGTGTGTGCGCGCGCGCGCGCTTGCCCAAGATCCGGAGAGGAGAATGGAGAAAGGATTGCAATGTGGCCATCCTCCTGGGGGGTGATTTCTCACTTTCTGTCTTTCTGGCGAGAGCATGTGCCCTATAGCAAAAAACACTCAAAAAAATAAAATTAACATTTTTGTTGCTAGAAAGGATTTACCCAAATAAATAGGTGAAATTCTCTGTGTTGAAAGATATACTGGGACCAGCAAATAGCGTACAGGTTCCATCGTTGGACTTCCTTGTAGGCGACTGTGGTTTGAGTCCTGGACCCGACAACTTAAAACTCATGTTCTGTCTCTCTGTCTCTCTGGCGAGCACATGCACCCTATAGCAAAAACCTCTCCAAAAAAAAAAAAAAAAAAAAAAACCTCACCAAAAAAAAAAAAAAAAAAACTCGCGCTGAGCATATGTGCGTGTTCGCTCAAAACCCAGAGAGGAGAATGGAAGAGAAGGCTTTGTGGAATGGCCATGCCCCCTGGGGGGGAATGATTTCTCACTTTTTGTCTATTTCTCTCTGGCAAACTCAGGCAAAAATCTCTTTTAAATGAATTTAAAAAAAATAGATATACTTAACCCATAGAGCTGCAGTTGTTTCCCACTCCTGCTGACTCTAGTCTTTGGGTTCTTTAAAAGCCTCTTCAGGGGCCAGGTGGTGGTAACACAAATGGACCCACCTGGAAAAGGTCCTGGGTTTGTATCCTGAGACCTCCCAGAGCACGCCCATGATCTGGGCTGAGATGGAGGTGGCCTGCGGCGTGAAAGCTCCTGTTGGAAATGCCTGTCTCTCTTGCTCTTTTTCTTTCTCTCTCTCAGAATAAATAAGTTCTTGGAGTCAGCAGGTGACATCCTAGTTAAAACACTGAACTCCCTCGTAGTTAAAACACTGAACTCCCTCATAGCCGACTACAATTTGAGTTCTGGACCCTGCAGCTTGAAAGTTGTATGAGTGTGTGGGTGTGCATGCCCCAAATCCCGAGAGGATAATGGAGGAGAAGGGATTGCAGTGCGGCCATCCCCATTAAGGGTGGGGGATGATTTCTCACTCTCCCTGTGTCTGTCTCTCCTGTGAGTGCATGTGCCCTATAAATAATAAATAAATAAATAAATAAATAAATAAATAAATAAATAAATAAAATCTTAAATAAGCTTTATAAGAAAAGTTTAAAAGCTTATTCGGGTTCAACTGGCGGCATGATGGTAAAGGTGACTGGTTCCTACTGGCCAACTGTGCAGTTCAAGTCCTAGAACTGGCAACTTGAAAAACATGCCAGGTATGCATCCGTACATGCCCAAAATCCTGAGAGGAGAATTGAGAAGGGATTGCGGACTGGCCTTCTCCCCTAGGGGAGCACTTTCTCACCCCTCCCCATCTCTCTACAATGAGCACATGCATCCTACAGCAAACTGAAAATAAAAAAGGGAAAAAAGTTTCATCAGATGATGTCACACAGTTTTGAATACAAAGACTAAGAAGTGAAGATGAACTAATTTTTACTCTACTTACAAGAGACAAAATTTTAAATGATATCAAAAAAGGGGGCCATCACATGGTGTGGTGGTTAGGGCACTGCACTCTCACATGGCTGACCATGGTTTGAATCCCAGACCTGGTGGCTTACTGTCTCACTTTCATTTTCTGTCTCTCTCTGGTAAGCACGCATGCTCTGTAGCAAATTTAATAATAATAATGATGATGATGATAAATAAAACCTCTTTTTTGTTAGGGGGCTGGTTGGAGGCGCTGGATTCCCACATGGTCAACTGCGGTCCAAGTCCTGGACCTGGAGGCTTGTTTTCTCACTTTCCCTTTCTCTCTCTCTCTCTGTTCAATTTCGTTTTGTAAAAATGATTACAAATGGAATTAAATAAATAAATATTTTTTAAATCTTGTTTTTTTTTGAGAGAGATTTTTGCTATAGGGCATGTGTGCTCACTGGAGAGATAGGGACAGAGAGATAGAAAGTGAGAAATCACCCTCCGGGGTGTTAACCATGCCATAATCCCTTCTCCTCCATTCTCCTCTTGTGATTTTGGACACGCACACACATGTGCCCAGAGTGAGTTTTAAGCCACCAGGTCTGGGACTCGCACCGTGGTCAACTACATGAGAGTCCAACAATGTAACCATTACACTATCTACTGGTCCCAAAATTAAATAATTATTTTAAAAAATAGTTAGAAATCGGGGCTGGCAGGTGACATGGTGGTTTAGGGTGCAGGACTCCCACTTGGCCTACTGGGGTTTGAGTCCCGGACCTGGTGGCTTGCTTTCTCACTCTCACTTTCTCTCTTTTTCCCTCTCTGATCAAATTTAAATAAAATTTAAAATTAATAAAATAAAAAATTAAAAAGTTAGATATCTAGGAACCTAACACAGTGATTTGTAGAATCGAAGGGGTTTTATTTATGTAAAAGCTCATGGAAATGAATCATGTCATGAAAGATGTGTCACAAGCAGGCTCTAACTAAGGCTTGGTGCTGCAGTTTTCTTAATGTTTCTTGTGCTTGAGCTGAGCTGCCTGGATCTGTGGATCTTAAGTTTTTATTTACTCATTTATGAGAGTGTATGAGAGAGATTTTTAATAGGTTCTGTCTGCATTGGGATCCTTCTGACCCATCCTCCCAGCTAGCTCAGACCAAAGGCATGTGCCGCAGCCCCCAGCCTGTTCAGGTCAGCTGGGGAACCAAACCTGGGTCCACCATACAGCTTCAGCCTCTGAGCGGTGGCATCTTAGCAGTACACATCACCATAGCTGAGCCAGAGTTGTGGATTTATTTATTTATTTATTTATTTATTTATTTATTTATTTTATTTTATTTTATTTTATTTTATTTTTGAAGAGGTTTTTGCTATAGGGCGTGTGCGCTTGCCAGACAGAGACATAGAGACAGAAAGCGAGAAATCACCCCCCAGGGGGGATGGCTACACCCCAATCCCTTCTCCTCCATTCTCCTCTCGGGATCTTGGGCACGCACGCACATGCACCTGGCGTGAATTTTAAGCCTCCGGGTCAGGGACGCGAACCGCGGTCGACTACATGGGAGTCCAGTGACATAGCCATTATGCTGACTGCTGGTCCTGTGCTGTGGATTTAAAAAAAAAAAAATTTAAATTTTGCTACAAGGCACATGTTCTTACTGGAGAGAGACAAGGGGGCAGGGGAGTGAGAAAGATCCCCAGAGGAGATGGCCACACTGCAATCCCTTCTCCTCCATTCCTCTGTCAGGATTTTGTGCATGGATGCAAACATGCCTGGTGTGTTTCTCAAACCACTGATTCCAGGACTCAAACTACACATTTGGCCTTGTAGGATCCAGCTGCCTTAACCACCACGCCACCAGCTGGCCCTAGATCTGGGGATTTTTCATTTTCATTAAATTGCAAAAATTTTGGTCATGATTTTTTTCCTCAGCATGAAAACGCTGTTTACTAGTCCAGTCAAAGATATTCCCATACACATTATCATCAATAGATGATTTTCTTTTTCCCTCGATCCCCTCCCTCTCGCCCTCACACATTTCTTACCCTCCTCCCACACTGTCGCCAGTGTCCACAGTTGTTCTCCGTGCTTTTAGGTCCTCATTTCTTTTTTCTTTCTTTTTTTCTTTTTAGGTTTTTCCATAGGGTGCATGTGCTCACCAAGAGAGACAGAGAGAGACAGAGCGGAAAAGTGAAAAAAATCACCCCTCAGTGCTTGCTTCGGCAGCACATGTACTAAAATTGGAACAATACGGAGAAGATTAGCATGGCCCTCACGCAAGGATGACACACAAATTCATGAAGCATTCCATACTTTTAAATAAACTTAAATTAAAAAATAAAAGAATTTTTAAAAGATCACCCCTTAGAGGGGATGGCCACACTGAAAATCCCTTCTTCTCCATGCTCCTCTCAGAATTTGGGACACATGTACATGTGCGTGGTGTGATTTTCTTTCTTTCTTTTTTTGTAAGGAATTTTTTATTTAATTTTATTTATTCATTTATTTATTTTAATTTGATCAGAGAGAGAGAGAGAGAGAAAATGAGAAGGCAAGACACCAGGTCCAGGACTTGAACCATGGTTGGCCATGTGGGAGTGTCCAGCACCTTAACCACCACACCACCTGCTGGTGTTCCCCCCACATGTGATTTTCTTTTTCTTTTTTTAATATTTATTTTATTTTATTTATTCATTTTTTTCATTTATTTTAATTTGATGAGAGAGAGAAAGGGCAAGTGAGAAAGCAAGCCACCAGATCCGAGATTCGAACTCTGTGTGGCTAGGCATGTGGGAGTGTCCAGTGCCTTAACCACCACCCCACCTGCTGGTCCCATCCCCCATGTGATTTTCAAGCTGCTGGGTATGAGACTTCAACCACAGTTGACCATTTGGGAATCCAGTGACCCAACCGTCGTTTGCCTCAGTTATCACTTTTTTTTTTTTTTTTGTCATAAGGTGCATGTACTCACTAGGAAGACACAGAGACAGAGAAAATGTGAACTCACCCTCCAGAGATAATGGCCATGTCACAATCCCTTCTCCTCCAGTCTCCTCTCAGGATTTTGGGCACACATGCACACGTGCCCAGCATGATTTTCAAGTTGCTGGGTTCAGAACTTGAACTCTGGCCAGCCACATGGGAGTCTAGTGCCTTAACATACTGCCTGCTGGGCATGGCCATTGTTTCTTTAAATGCTTTTCAGTCCATCCCTCTCTCCTTTGAGATCTCCTATTATACATGTATTAGATCACTTGAAGTTGACCCATAACTCAGTGACACTTTTCCTTTAACTCTTTTTTCATTCATAGAATTTTGATAGCTTCTATTGCTAGGTCTTTAAGTTTACTAATTCTTTGAGTAGTGTTTAATCTATCATTAGTCCTATCCATTGCAATAGACATTATACTTTACATCTCTAGAAGTTTAATCATCTTTTTTATTTTTATATCTGTCATGTCTCTACTTAACATTTTGAGCAAATGGAATACGGTTATGGTAATGTCCTTGACGCTAATTCTAAGGTTTGTGTCATTTCAGGGTCAGTTGTAATTGTTTTTGTCTCCTCATCATAGGCCATATTTTCCTATCTTTCCATGTCTATTAATTTTTTTTTGAGAGGTTTTTGCTTCAGGATGCATGCATTCCCTAGAGAGAGTGAGCGAGACAGAGACAGCGAGAAGGAAAGTGAGAAATCATCCCCCAGGGGGGATGACTATGCCTCAACCCCTTCTCCTTCATTCTCCTCCCTGGATCTTGGGCATGCACTAACATGCACCTGGCATAATTTTCATGCCACTGAGTCCAGGACTCAGACCGTAGTTGGCCACATGGAAGTCTAGTGACGTAGCCACTATACCATTTGCTGGCCCCATGCCTGTTGATTTTTGTTTGGATGTTAAAGATTGTGAATTTTGGGACCAGCAGTTAGCGTAATGGCTATGTCGCTGGACTCCCACATAGTTGACCGCAGTTCAAGTCCCGGACCCGGTGGCTTAAACTCACGCCGGGCGCATGTGCGTGCGTACCCAAGATCCCGAGAGGAGAACGGAGGAGAAGGGATTGCGGTATGGCCATTCCCCCTGAGGGGTGATTTCTCGCTTTCTGTCTCTCTGTCTCTCTCTGTCTGGCAAGCGCATGCGCCCTATAGCAAAAAAAAAAAAAAAAAAAGAGAGAGATTGTGAATTTTACCATGTTTGATACTGGATGTTTTTGTATTCCTGTAAAGCTTGAACTTTGTTCTGGAATGCATTTAAGTTACCTGGAAACAGTTTAATCCTTTTGTGTCTTCCTTTAAATTTTGTTAGGTAGGGGGGCAGGCAGGTGATGTGGTGGTTAAGGTGCTGGACTCCCCCATGGCTAGCTTGCTTTCTCACTTCCCCTTTCTCTTTCTCTCTCCTCTGGTTAACCTAAAAACATAGTAATAACAAATAAAGTTAAATAAATAAATAAATCTTTTAAAAAATTTTGGGGCCAGCAGGTGGTGTGATGGTTAAGGTGCTAGACACTCCCACATGGGTGACCATGGTTCGAGTTCTGGACCTGGTGGCTTGCTTTCTCACTTTCTTTCTCTGTGTTTTTCCCTGGTCAAATTAAAATAAATGAATAAATAAAGTTGAATGAAGTTTTAAAAATTAAAAACAATTTTTTTTTTGTTAGGTAGGATCAGAGTAACGCCAACTCTAGGGCCAATTATTTCCTTGAGGCAAGGCCTTCATGAGTGTTCTTCTTGATGTTCCATGGATCATGAGTTTTTCCGATCTGGCTGGTGGCGATAGGCACTGTTGCCTATCTGCTGTGAATATCGGGCATTTTCTCCCTTTAATCCTTTCTTGTGGCTCTTTCTCCAGCCTAGGGTGGTTTTCTTATACATGTGCTGAGCAGTTCTCTGCTGAGCACTAAAATGGGACCCTTGCAGCTCTCTGGGATCCTCTCTGGAACTGTCCTTTGAATTCTGGTTGCCTTGTCTCCCTGGACTCTCAGCAGTGTGTTCTCAGCTCAGGAATCTCACTGAACTCTGCCTCAGTTTTTCGTCCCTGCACTGTAGTCTGAGAACTGAAGGCGGTAAACTGAGGCAATAATAGGGCTCACTTTACTCGTGTTCTAGAAGGGAAGACCTTGGTGGCCTGACCTTGGTGTCTTGAAAACCTTTTTTGTTTTTGGTCCATAGTTTGGTTGTTTTAGGTGGGAAAGTAGTCAATCCCTGTTCCTCTATTTTGACTTATTAAGTGGAAGTCCAGACATTACACCCATCTGGAACATTTAAAAACATTTATTTATTTATTTTTATTTTTAATTTTTTTTGGAAAGGTTTTTGCTATAGGGCATGTGCGCTCACCAGGCAGACAGAGAGAGAGAGAGACAGAAAGCAAGAAATCACCCCCTCCCCCCCAGGGGGATGACCATGTCGCAATCCCTTCTCCCTTCTCCTCTCAGGATCTTGAGCACGCACGCACATGCGCCCGGTGTGAGTTTTAAGCCACCGGGTCCAGGACTTGAACTGCAGTCGACTACATGGGACTTCAGCGACATAACCATTATGCTAACTGCTGGTCCCCCATCTGGAACATTTTTAAAAAAGAATTATTTTATTTAACTTTATTTATTTATTTTAATTCGACCAGAGGTGAAAAAGAGAGAGGGAGACAGAGAGAAAGTGAGAAAGCAAGTTGCCAGGTCCAGGACTCAAACCACGGTCAGCTGTATGGGAGTCTAGTGTCCTTAACCACCATGCCACCCACCAGCCCCCATCTGGAACAATTTTACCCACTAAAACCATTGCATACTGAACTCTTTGAAGTTAGACTGTATCCTATTGAACTCACACCCAGTTATGTACAGGGGAAGATAGCAATTATCTTGGTTTATACCCACAGCAGACTTAACCAATGCCTGGCACTTGGCTGACACTCAGTGAAAGCTGGAGTGGATGAATAAACTATTTTGAGCAAACAGCTGTTGATCAGCATATGGTGTTTTCTTCCAACATTTGTTGATGAGCTTTTGCAATTTTCTCCTTGCTTGGCAGCAGCAAATGGAAGCCAGGCAAAATGGAAATTTCTGGGACTTGTTGTTCATGACTGTAATTATCTACAAAAATGCACCCTTTAAAAAAAGTGTATTTACAGACATGAGGGAACTTTTTGGGGTGACAGAAATGTTCTAAAACTGGGTTGTGGTGATGACTGCACAAAGTTACTAAAAATTATTGAAAATTGTACACTTAAAAATGGGTGGATTTTGTGTCATATAAATTGTACTGAAATAAAGCTTTTTTAAAAATTTATCTGAAAGATTCTCAAAGCACTTTAAAGTGAAAAAAAGAAATTGCCAACCAATTTACATAGGATAAACCTAGTTTTGATTTTTCAGAATTCTCATATACATTGAAAAATAACTCCTACCAGATAAGAGTATGGTGCACTTTCATTTTGTACAAGGTACAGGTATTGGCTTTATAGTTAAAAAAAATTAAAGATTTAAAAATGATTGGGGGACCGGCAGGTAGTGTGGTGGTTAAGGGTGATGGACTCCCACATGGTCGACCATGTTTAGGTCCCGGGCCTGGTGGCTTGCTTTCTCACTTTCTCTCTCCCCCCCACCTCTTGTCCCTCTCTGGTCAAATTGAAATAAATAAATAAATGGATAAATAAAATTAAATAAAATAATTTTTTTGAGAGGTTTTTGCTACAGGGCATGTGCGCTCACCAGACAGACAGAGACAGAGAGACAGAAAGCAAGAAATCACCCCCCCAGGGGGGATGGCCATACTGCAATCTCTTCTCCATTCTCCTCTCGGGATCTTGGGCACGCATGCACACATGCCCAGCGTGAGTTTAAGCCACCAGGCCCAGGGTTCGAACCACAATTGACTACATGGGAGTCCAGCGACATAGCCATTATGCCGATTGCTGGTACCAATAAAATAATTCTTTAAAAAGAAAAAAAAGATTGGTTAAAGCTGCTGCATCTTACTTGACCTACTGTGTAATTTGAGTTGAAAAACACAGTGGGTGTGTGCATGTGCCCACCCAAAATCCCAAGAGGAGAATGGAGAAGAAAGAAATGTGGTGTGAGCATTCCCCTCTGCAGGGAAGGGTGCTTTCTCACTTTCCTTCTGTTCCTGTCTCTCTCTGGCAAGTGCATGTACCCTACAGCAAATTTTTAAAAAATTAAGAAGATTGAAGGACTAGCAAATGGCGTAATGGTTATGTCGACCGTGGTTCGAGTCCCAGACCCAGAGGCTTAAATCTCATACCAGGCGCATGTGTGCATGTGCCCAATATCCTGCGAAGAATATGGAAGAGAAGAGATTGT